AGCACAGCCTCGTGTGGACCCTGCGTCTGAGCCCGCGGAGCGGGGCCACCATCTCTGGAGCTGGCCTCTGGCTCCAGCGCCCTCATCAGGAAGTGAGGATGGAGCCGGGCAGAGCGGGTGGGCCCCGGACAGGGAGCTGGGCTGGGGGGAGGGGGCAGCGAGGCCACAGTGTCAGGAATCTCCTCAGATGGAGCCACAGGGGCTCCCGAGGGGGTGTCGGGAGCAGAGGGAATGAGGGAGCGACGGGCTGAGGCCGACCTCCCTGCTCCTTCCAGCCCCGCGGTGCGGGGAGGCTGGGCCGCAGGAGGGCCTCTCGCTGGGCTCCGCGAGGCGCTCTGCTGTGTCCTGGGCCGGCGGTCCCTCCCGTGCTCAGCTTCCCGGCGCAGCTGGGTGGGCTCCCCAAAGGGCACCTCAGCGACACGGGTGTCAGAGACAGAAGGAGAGGGCCCCTGGGAGGAGGCGTGTTCCCGTCCGGTTGGAGTCACTGTCCTTCCCTGTGGAGATCCACAAGTGGCCGGCGTGATGGTCGGCCGGGCGGGCGTGGGCGGGCTGGGCCTGCCCCGCGGCCTCAGTCAGCATCACTTCCCAGCCCCGGGCTCGGCTGAGTCATGGGGCTTCCCCGGTGAGTGAGACCAGCACTTCCTGTGGTTCGGGGTTCTCCGGAGCCTGTCACGGGCCCGCTGTGCTGGCGGAGGCAGGCTCTTGGGGAGCCGGGACTCCCTGAGAGCCTCCAGCTACCTCTGTCCCCGAGGGCTGCTCTGGGATGTGGCTTTGGGTGCGACACCCCTGAGCAGCGTGAAATTGACCGAGTGTCTGGCGACCACGGGTTGAGGGCTTGGAAGGGGTGAGCCCAGGCCATGGTCAGGCCTGCCCTGTAGCTCCGTGGCCCCTGCGGAGTGTGCTCGGTGGACAGTGGGCTCAGCCTCCTGCCCTGCTCAGTTGTGATGGTTGGAGGTGGGGTGTGGCCTGGCCCCACTGGGGTGGGCCTGGGGCACCTGTGACCGCAGCCCCTGGGTCTGGGTCCTTCCCCTCTGCTGCCCGTGGCCGACAGCCTGGTGACCGAGTCCTCTCTGCAGCCGGAACAGGCGGGCAGGGAGGCCTCTGTCCGGGCGGCCGTGGAGAAGCTCCAGGAGGAAAACCGGCTGTTGAAGCAGAAGGTGGCTCACGTGAGTGTCTGCTGTTCCCTCGGGGAGAGCTCGCAGGCCGGCCCTCGGGCCACGGCTGACAGTCTCTTCCCTAAAGGACGACAGAGCGTCCTGTGGCTCCCACGCCCGCCAGTCCATGTCCTAGAGGGGGCAGGGGTCACCATCCAGACGGCTCCCGAGGCCGCAGACGTCCACTTGTGTTGAAGGCGCTGCTTGTGCGGAGCGAGGAGAGGCCCCTCCGTTCCCGGGGACCCTCCCTCGACTCCTCGCCCACCAGTAGCTTCCGGTCAGTGGGCAGGAGCGCGGCCCTGCCAGCCGCTCACTGCACTCGCCCGCAGGTGGAAGACCTCAACGCCAAGTGGCAGCGCTACGACGCCAGCAGGGATGAGTATGTGCGGGGGCTGCGGGCCCAGCTGCGGGGGCTGCAGGCTCCCCAGCCCGAGGCGGAGCTGATGAGGAAGGAGATTGCCAGGCTCAACCGGCAGCTGGAGGAGAGAATCAGCGAGTGTGCGGGGGCTGCGAGGGAGCTGGCGGCGGCGCAGGAGCGGGCGCAGATGCTGGAGCAGCAGGTAGGAGGGCAGGACAGGCGAGTCCCTCCCTGTGCAGCCTGGTGATGGCTGAGGGCCTGCTCTCTTCAGGTCCTCGCCTACAAGGACGACTTCACGTCGGAGAGGGCGGATCGGGAGCGGGCACAGAGCAGGATCCAGGAGCTGGAGGACGAGGTGGCGGCCCTGCGCCAGGCACGCAGACAGGTGGGTGTGAGGGCCTCTCTCTCCTTCCCATGAATGCCAGGTCCCCTGTCTGCTCAGACCCATTTCCCGCTCCGGCAGAGCCATCCCTGGCACCTGGCACGAGCGCGGTGGTGGAGACAAGCCGTGTGTGGTCCTGTCTGCGGAGGAGGTTGGCATGGGTGTGACAGCAGTGGCCGCCCCCAGGGTTGCCTGCCTCCGGTGCTCACTGCCATGCACGCCATGCACCCGGGGAGACGCCGTATCCAGGAAGGAGACCTGTGGCCCCAGGTGCCGCCTGGCCTCTGCCCTTCCTCCTGCCACCTCTGTTCTCTTTTGGGCTCTGGGCCAAGCAGGAAGCAGGGCGAGGATGGATGAGCCGAGAGCAGCGTGGTGGCCTCGGGCACAGCCATTACATCCTCTGCCTTTTCTCCAGGACCCCCAAGAGCCAGGCTCCTGCCGGATCCACACGGGGAGCAGAGCACCCAAGCGCGCAGAAACCAATGCTTCTGAGTTGGTGGTGCCTGGTGGCCAGAGGCCTGCGTCTGCACCCCAGGGCCGGGCCCCCCCTCCAGAGGGCGGGTGCCCCGGAGCTGCCCGGAGAGGCCAGGGGGAGCTGCAGTGTCCACACTGCCTGCGGTGCTTCAGCGACGAGCAGGGCGAGGAGCTCTTCAGACACGTGGCCGAGTGCTGCCTGTGAGCCAGGCGGAGACAGGCCGGTGCTCTCGGCTGCGACAGAGGGACCCCGAGATGTGGGCAGAGGGTGCTCTGGCCTTCACCTTGGTCCCCCTCGGGCTGTGGAACAGAGGCTGGGCTTTGGGTCCTCAAGCTGTCAGGCCGGGGCTGGAGTAGGAGCTCACAGGCCAAGGTGATGGTCCCGCCCCACCTGCACCTGGGACGCTGCATCTCGCGAGAACAGGGGGCTGCCTGAGGGAACCACACATTGGGTCCCAGGGTGGAAGGGCACCCCAGGTTTGGAGGGCCGAGCACTGTGGCCTCGGCAGGGCCATGGAATACACTGTGTTGCTTAGTGTCTGTCACACGTCCAGAGGTAGAGTCGTGTGCTTTGTAGCCACTTATTTTTATAATAAACACGTTTGCTGCAGTGGCTGCTGAGGCTGCAGGGCGGGGCCCGGGGCGAGGGGCCCAGCAGCACTTCACCTGGGCAGGAGCCAGATCAGCGGATGAGAGGCCTGCCTCCTGCTTGCCACCTCCTGGGGGACACCCTCTTCCCACTTCCCTTGAGGCAGGGACAGCGGCTGGGACAGCTGACCTCCGTCAGGGCTTCTGTTCATCACATGCACAGGGCGCGGCCCCACCTCTCCCTCCTCTCTCGGCTTCAGGTCTGGCGGTTCCCACCCGATGCCGCGCGCTCTCGCCTGTGGGTCTGTCCAGGGTGCTTCTCGTTTCTTCACAAGCTCCACTGGCATCTTCTTTGTATCTTCCACTCCTCCCTCCGCCTCCTGCTTTCTGGCGATTCCCCTGCAGACACAGAACTTGATTCCACCCACGCAGGCGAGCAGGTCCGAGGGGACGCTGCAGGTCTCCAGGGCTGGGTGCAGCCCCTCCTGCCTGGAACGCTGCCCCACAATTCCAGTCCCTCGGCCTCCCTAGATGCCAATCTCTGCTTCTTCCACAGGCAGCCCCCTGGGCTCTGTGTACCTCCTCTCTCAGTGCTGGGCCTGGGATGGCCCCATATGGACCCTCAAAAGACCCCAAATAGCCAAAGAACTCTTGAGAAACAACCAATTGGGAGGTGCCATGCTCTCTGATATCAAACTGTACTGAAGGCTACGGTAACCAAAGCAGATCGGCACCAGCACCAAACATCCGGGCCAGCGGAACAGCCAGCCAGGTAAATCCTCGCTCAGGTGCGGTTACTCTCTGACACAGGAGGCGAGAACATACAGTGGCATAAAGCCAGTGCATAAAGTAAACGGAAAAACTGGACCGATACATGCAAAAAAATGAAACTTTCTTCACCATGTACAGAATAAGCAAGTGTAGCAGCTGAAATCATAAACTCCAAGAGCAGCGATTTTTAACCAGTGCGCACAAGAATTTTTACAACGCAGTACCTGGCCTCTTCCCCTTAGATTGTCAAGTAAAAAAATGACAGCCAACACAATAGCCGTCTGGTGAATGAACCAAAATGATACCTATTTTTTTTTGTCAGATGGGCAAAAAAATTACATTCTTTTACTTTAGTAATTAGTTTGTGTGCCATGAGAGGAAGAAGGTGGACCCGCTGACCTACAAGGCAGAGGCACTGAGTTTTCTGACCTTGCTCCTGGCATATCTTTGTGGATATGTCTCCTCAGGCGAAGGCTAAAAAAATAAACAAATGGAACTTCATCAAACCACGAAGTTTTGCACAGGGAAGAAACCAACAAAACAAAAAATCCTAACAAATGAGAGAAGACATTTGCCAATGATACAGCCAATGAGGGGTTAGTACCCAAAATGTATAAAGAACTCATACAACTTAACACCAAAAAACCCACACCAATCCAATGAAAAATGGGCAAAGGAACTGAACAGACACTTCTCCAAAGAGGACGAATAGCCAAGAGACATATGAAAAAACGTTCAACATCACTATCACCAAAGAGATGCAAATTGAAACAATGGGGTGCCACCTCACACCTGCCGGACGTCGACCATCTATACACCAATCCTTTTGCCGCGGCAGCAGCAGCCCTGAGGATGCTCGGCTTCAGAAGAGGCTTGCCTCCAGCGTCCTCCGCTGTGGCAAAAAGAAGGTCTGGTTGGACCCCATGAGACCCATGAAATCGCCAACGCCAACTCCCGGCAGCAGATTTGGAAGCTGATCAAAGATGGGCTGACCACCCGGAAGCCTGTGACTGTCCATTCCCGCAGGAAGGGCAGGCATATGGGCATAGGTAAGCGAAAGGGTACCGCCGATGCTCGAAAGCCTGAGAGCGACCTGGATGAGGAGGATGAGAATTCTTCGCCGGCTACTCAGAAGACACCGTGAATCTAAGAAGATTGACCGCCACATGTACCACTGCCTGGGCCTGAAAGTGAAGGGTAACGTGTTCAGAAACAAGCGATTCTCAGGGGACACACCCACAAGCTAAAGGCAGACAAGGCTCAGGAGAAGCTCTGGCTGACCAGGCCGAGGCCCGCAGGTCTGAGACCAGGGAAACCCGCAGCGCCGTGAGGAGCGCTCCCGGCCAAGAAGGAGATCATCAAGACTGTCCGAGGAGGAAGAGACCAGGAAATAAAGCTTCACCTCTCTTACCTGTACACAGCGGCCTTGGCAATTCCACGGTTCAGTCATTTAATAAAAGCAGCCTTCATCTAAAAAAAAAATACACAACAAAAAATACATCAACCCAAGTGCTGGCGAGGACATGAAGGGAACTGTAGTGCTCTGCAGGTGGGAGTGCACGCTGGTGCAGCCACTGTGGAAAACAGTATCGAGTGTCCTCCAAAGATTCAAACTGGCCTGGCCGGTGTGGCTCAGTGGTTGAGCATCAACCTGTGAACCAGGAGGTCATGGTTCGATTCCCAGTCAGGGCACATGCCCGGGTTGTGGGTTTGATCCCCAGTGCGGGGCGTGTAGGAGGCAGCCTATAATTCTCTCTCATCACTGATGTTTCTATCCCTCGCTGAAATCAATAAATATGTATTTTAAAAAATTAAAAATGCAATTGCCTTATGACCCAGCAATTCCACTTCTGGGTATTTATCTGAAGAAAACAAAAACCCTAATTAAAAAGGTAAACATACCCCATGTTTGGTGCCTGGGAAGCCCATTTTCATTGCAGCTTGATCCACAATAATCAAGAAGTGGAATAAGCCTGGTGCATGGACAGACACGGTAGAGATGTGGGACATACTTATGATGGGGTCCTACGTGTGCATAAAAGGAATGGAAGATCACCATCTGCAGCAACACAGATGGACCGAGAGGGCACTCAGTGAAATACACTGAGTGGCCAGATTATTATGACCACCTGACCTTTGTAGGAAAATTAGCTATAATTTCACACTGAAGTTGCTAGAGGGCCAGACCATTATAAATAGCGAAGCAGGTTGTTTACCATGACAGTAGAAGTGATTTTTTTTCTGAAAGTATGGGTAAACAACGCGATTTAACAGCCTTTGAATGTGGGATATATATATATACACAC